AACCGAGTGGGAGCGGTTTAACAGCGGCGTTTTGGACGCTTACGCCGCCTGATGCGTTTTCAAACTGGTTGGCCTGCCGCCAGGAGGTCAGAAACAGACTTCCTTGAGGACACGAAAGTTTGTAATTAAGATGAATGCTGCATTCAACATGTGACTTGTAAAGAAAGATTCTTCAACTCAGTACACAGTATAAAGGAGCGAGCAAATGGGTAGTAAAAGGACGGTCTACGACAATTAATTCGGCGCAGAATATTTTGGCGCCGACCGATAGTCGTTATCAACGTGCAAGGCGTTTTATTTTATGTGATTTGACTGTGGTCACCTCGATCAGCTGTAATCCAACCCACTTTATTACATATTCTGCGTGAACAGAGGCGAAACGTTGTAACAAAAGCAGAGATGAGTTCGAAGAACAACACCTTCGCGGCCAACTCGATTTTTATCCCCATGTTTACCTACCGTCATGAGTCGTAGGTCAAGGCTGAAAAAGTTCAATCCGTTGTAAAAGCGACTGAAATCGATTTTCTGTGACGAATCGCTGGCTGAGCGTCTCGATTTGGTTCAGAGTACGGATATACTAGATTCACGGTTGCTTCTAGAAAGAAAGGCGAAATAGCGACATATTGTCCAATCGACCTATTTCCGTGGACGGCCGAGAATAGCTTTGGACAAGTGTAAAGAAAGATTCTGTACCAAAATCGGGCTATTTTCTTCCGAAGCTCAATCGCTTGCACAGGTTCGACAGCGTTAGAAACATTGTCTGGTGTGTATATTTCCATGAGCCGAAGAGATATGCAATCATGCGCAAGGACTTACGACTAAAACTGAAGTTCTCTACCTTTGTCCAAACATTAATTCTCTCAACCAACCCATGGACCAGTGTGTAATCACCAAAGCTTCACAGCTCAATATTTCTTCAAAGCTTAATATTTAAGGCTTTAGTGCAGGAATTGACAGCCATGGACAAAAGTCCTGATTTAAAAGTCCGAGACTTTTGGAAGTGTAAGTAGTACATTTATCAAGCTATAGAGAACACTGCACAAATACAGCATGAGGTCACACAAATATATACATTCGACATAAAAAAAGCTGTCCGGATTAATGCGCTTCGGTAAAAAATGAAACGATTTAATATTTGACTAAAAAAAGAGTGAATTAGTTCAGTTTGCTGAACAGTAAATTAAAGTCGACGCAAATTATATCAAAGAACTGACTGGCTTGTATGGATATGAAGCAATCATTAAATGAGAACCAACAAACGGTGCTAAAGCTGATGCTTCAATTTCAGAAGAGGAACCGAAACGTTTCATGACGAAAATTAAACCATCACATCCTGTGAGACTTCATTACTCAGCACGACTGGAAAAGACGAATACTAAGGTTTATAGAGGTCAAAATAAATAAATAACGCTTTGGACGGTTATCCACTGATTTATTACAAGAGGAAAGAAGGCACTGCCCAGTCATCTCATGAAAATTTCATAAGGTCGAATGGCCAAATTTATTCCATAACATTTTTGTCCAATCATTCATTTTCCATGACAGCTTCTCCTTTCGGATCGCGATAGACAGTGCTTTCAACGTTCCCGATCCTGCGTCAACGTCTGAGCTTCGGCAGAAAAAAACCGGAGTCAAGAAGAGACTCATTTAATACACTTACACCAGGTTAATCATGGTCGATCTTTGGGCTTTCTGCCGGTCAACTAGGTAAATAGTAGCTGCTTCGCCTTCCTTCCTCGATGCATTCGCAACACGTGCACAAACAGCCGTGCCTTCTCAATCTGAAGAAGCCCTGGCTACACTTCAAGGCTCTTGCGGATCACTGTACTCCGGACTACGTCGAGACGCGTAAGGAGAGCGACAAGCCTCAGAAAGCCCTTTATAGCCGTTTACATCCGAAATCAAGTTTTCGGTCATAGTTTACGACTCATGACTATTAGTGAGCATGGAGATGAAGACAGACTTCAACACCGAGAGATCAGTCCTGAGACTCAGCTATGCTTTAGTCACAACGGTTCGGCCAAGATCTGCTGGCGAATCCAAGCCACCTGTCGATCGCTTTCACCCACTTTTCATCACCAGTAAACATAATGTTGAGAAATTTCAACTTTTTCACCTTCTACTGTGATTATCCGTTTATCTGAAAAGAGTAACAGGCAAAAGAACGAGTAGGTACTAGACTTCGTTACATACACATTCACACGCATACCGGTTACGTGGCACTTGGCTGCGAAACTTTTCAGAGAACGCTGTCGATCAGTTTCGAAAGATTTCAACAAGACAAGGAAGTCTGCAAACAGTACGTTCACGTCTCGACATCTTCTATACTGATAGTCCCATCGTCCTGGCTTCTGACTATTCTATCAGTGCACAAATAATAAAAACTGGAGTGGACAGAACGCAGCTTGACAGAAACCAGTTCCAACAATGAAAGGTCTGAACTAAGCGCCATTTACTTTGACGTAGCACCTGCTACTACCATACAGCGACTGGATGGCTCTGATCTACTGACCATCGATCCCATATGTTCGCACGCATGACCACAGATTGTTGCGCGAGATCGTATCAGGCTTTCTCTAGGTTCACAAAGCATGTGTAAACCGGGAGAACAAAATTCCAAGATTTCCCAACAATCAGACAAAAGGCGAATATCTGGTCATAGATGCTTCGGCGAGACCTAAAGTCACGCTGCAGTTATTGTTGCTGACGTCGACGTTTAAGTTATTCCGCAGCACCTCCTTTCTAACACTTTGCGCAGACTATCCGAGAGGCTCAATAATGCTCTGATAATTGGACCACTCCCAACAGTCTCCCTTCTTGAACAGGGATGCTACAACCCCAGTTCATCAGTCAGCTGGTGTCTTCCCCGTAACCGCTGCAGCTTCACAGACACGTGTAACCTAGTACATGCCCTGTTCGACTAATACTTTTAGCATTTCAGAGCGAATTTCACCGAATCCAGCAGCCATTGCACTTATATAACTTTTCACTACTTGCGTGATTTCATCCACAGAGACACTAATATTCGTTCCTTGTTATTCCTCAGACGAATCTTCAAGCAGTCCATCGGAGATAAGCAGTTCCACAAAGTACAAACTTTATCGCCAAAGAAAGTCGTCAACCTTAGTAAGGGGCTGTTCAGACTTGTCCTTCAGGACTCTAAGACTGCCCTTTGTTCAGCTTAGAAGCAGCTGAGAGTCTGTCAGAATACCTGGTTCACTGCCTGGAAATTCGAATCCAACATGTCACCGAACTTCTCAACGGATCAGCTTTGGCTTTCGCCACTACTTTCGCTTCCGCAATGCGCGCCGCTTCGTATTGCTTTGAGTTGAAGATCCTTTGTTTCCAAGTGACCGTTTGAATGAAGTATTTTTGTCATTGATAATCAGCTGAACATCTGATGTCTACCAGGAAGATTATTTCTGACGTCCAGGCG